ATTATTTTGTTTTCTGTGTGAACTGATGAAAAGACTGTGTGAGCCTGAAAGCTTTTCTTGTTTCTTGTGCATGCACCATAGACCGTACCTAGCTGCCTGATTCAGGTCTGTGGATGTTTAAACTCTCAAGCTGCAAATGAGAAGGATGAGGTAAAGTCCTTCAGATATATTATAGGTATTCTTCTCTTGCTTCTGGACCTAGAGATAGAGGCATTCTGTGACTGCAGTATTTTGATGGAATAATGTCCTCATTCCAGAAGAAAAAAAAGTCTAAAATGACTGCTTATTTCTCTTGAAGGTTAGCCCTTGCTCAAAGCCATTTCTACTGGGCAATTGTTTTCTGGTGTACTGTGGTTTAAGATGGCTTTTATGCTTTTGAAATATGTATTAATATTCTGTAGGCAATTAAGACAGAACTAGTGGGTTGTAGTAGGTTGTTCCACTCTCAGAAATTTAAGGTCTAGAAAATCAAGGATAGGGCAGAGCAGCACATAAAAGTTCAGCCCATAGCCATCCTTGGTGCTTAAGCAAATGATATACATCACTCTCTCTTCCAGGGTCTTACTTGTGGGTTCTCATACAGTATACATCCTTTCATACAATTCTTTGCTTGTTAAAATTATTAAGCTTTTTGGTAGCTTTCTCTCCATATTTTTGTCACTTCCAGCTACTGGAAGGCAAAAGGTGTTTGTAGTTCACTGCCTTCTTCCTTCTACTCTGTGTGTGTGTGTGTGTGTGTGTGTGTGTGTGTGTGTTGTGCATCCATCCTGTTCCAGGAGTGTCCCATGATGCTGTCTACCTTTCTTGCAGCCCCCCCTTTTTTTTTTTAACCAACCATCCTTATGAATAGCTCTGTTTATGCCACTTACAGACTTCTTGAGCAGCAGACTCAAGTTGGAATGATTCTTGTTAATGTTATGAAGTCAGCCTTTTGAGAACAACGAAGATACTTGACAGACTTATTTTCACTTAGTTGCTCTTCAGGAGAGCTGTGAACACCAAGGACAGCACTAAAGATATCTTCATGTAGATTTGGGAAGCCAGTGCTGTATCAGTTTGGTTTTGAAAATTTACTTTTATAGCTCTTAGAGCTGGATACTCATGTCTTTGTTTTTTAATTGCAGAGAACAAGAATCTGTGAGCTTCAGTGGTTAGCAGTTACAATACATGACCTTAGTTTTGTACGTGCAGAAGTTTAAGATCTAAAAAAAAAAAAAAAAGTGTTTTCTACTTGATGTTATTTACATAAATGTCCTAGATTGCAGTAAGTAAATAATATGGGCAGGTCCCACTACATCAGCCTACATATGGCTCCTTTTTAGAAATTTTCCTTTGTAACCTTGAAGGCACAAGTGGAATATTTGTCCCATTGAAATAAATGGCAAAGGCTCTTTTTAAATGAAAGCAAGGGAGCTGCAGAAGTTGAGGTTAGTTACTAGAGAGAGAGGAGTTTTTAAACCTCAGTTCCTTTCTTTGTTTTCTTTTAACAATGATGTTTGAATTGTAACAAAATGCATCTTGCTGTTAGACATCTTTGTGGGGAAAAAAACCCAGAAAAGTCTATTTAATTACTCAAGTACCGTAACAGAGAGACATATAAAAAAAAAAAGTGTTAATCCATTATGTTGTACATCTCCCTAGCTCATTATAGTGTTGCTGGATGAAGATAATATTGCTGATTAACTTTGAAGTTGGCTGTTTCTAGGTGTTTCTAGGCTGTTTCAGCTTCTCAGCCTGCTAGATTATAGTGTGAAGTAGATACTTTGAACTGAAAAGCTTTTTAAGACTTCTAGTTGCTCTTTTCACTAGAAGCTTGAAATCCTAGTAAGCTAATGATAATGCTATCCTGGTTCATGTTTGAAAGCATGCAGATAAAGGCATCATTTTTAGCATCAGTGAGTGATATTTTACAGAAATTCTAACTCCTAATATGTCACTAGTTAAAGCAGTTAACAGAGATGGAACAGCATCTGCATCTCTGCACCAGGCTTTTGCCTCTCCTTCAGCGCGAGCAGAAATAGAAACCTGTCTGGTGTTGTACCTCCCAGTTCTGTGCTGTGCTGGGTTGACCTTGGCTGGCTCCCAGGTGCCCACCAAGCCACTCTATCACTTCCCCTCCTCAACAGGACAGGGGGAGAAAATACAACAAAAAGCTCATGGATCGAGATTACTCACCAGTTACCATCACGGGCAAAAGAGACTCGAACTTGGGGAAATTAATTTAATTTGTTGCTGATCAAATCAGAGTAGGATAATGAGAAATAAAAACAAACCTAAAACCCCCTTCCCCCTACCCCTCCCATCTTCCTGGGCCTATGTGGGGTCCCACCCACGAGAGAGTCTTTCACGAACTTCTCTGACGTGTGTTCTTCCCACGGGCTGCAGTTCTTCATGAACTGCTCCAGAGTGGAAGTCACTGTATCCTATTGGATGCATTTTAGAGATATATACTGGGTCTGTCTGGGATGGAGTTAACTGTCTTCATAGCAGCATGCATGGTGCTTTGTTTTGGATTTGTGACTAAACCAGTGTTGATAACACACCAGTACTTCAGCTGTGGCTGAACAGTGCTTGTGCAGGCCTGAGGCTTTCTGTCTTTCTCCATCTGCTTCCCCTAATGAGTAGGCTGAGGTTGGACAAGAAGTTTGGAGGCAACACAGCTGGGACAGCTGACATGAATTGGCCAGAAGGACATTCCATACAATATAGAGTCATGCTGAACAACAAAACCTAGGTCTTGCAAGGGAGCTGTTGGACAGAGACCTTCAGGGCACTGGTCTGCTTGTGGGAGGTGGCGAGTGATTGCCTTTGCATCACTTGTTTTGTGTTTTCTGGGGATACTATTTTTCCCCTCCTCTTTACTTACTAAACTGTCTTTATCTTGACCCATGAATTTTTTTGCTTTTACTGTTCCTATTGAATCCCCTGTCCTGCTGTGGAGAGATGAGTGAGTGGCTCTGTGGGTGCCTATGGGCTGGCCAGGGTCAACCAACAACAACAGCACAGACAGTCAGAAGGTAGAACTCTTGTCCAATGCTTCCTACAGCTCACCGGTGAGGTTACGGCAGGACTGAAAAACGTGTCATGCATGTTGAGACTTCACCCTTGATAAGCACCAGCATTGAAACCAAAATTGGTCAACACCATTACTGGTGAGTTTTGTGGATGATATTATGTCTTTCTAGCTCCTTGGCCATCAGATGTTATGAAGGAGAAGGCTATTGAGATTCCAGTTAGAGATTTGTGAAAGAATTTAGTATCTACTGTTTCATATCAAGTAACTGACATTTGGTAATACTTCAGTATTGCCCCAGTAGAAGATGAGATTTTGTTTCTTTTTATGATGTGTTGAAGCTCCCTGCCCTGCTGTCCATTCCAGGTAGTTGTTGATTTTGCTTGTGTCTTCTGGGTTCCTTTCAGAAGAGTTAAATTCTCTATGAGGCAAAAGACTCTCAAAAGCTTAAGTAATTAGGCTTAAATTTGTCGGTTGTTCGTTTGAGGTGTAAGCTCACGTGTTTGCAAATGGGACAGGTTAACATTGTACACAGATAATTACTGAGGTGAAGGTTGGTAATTTGTAACTGTAGCTCATTCTTGTCCAATTACCTGTCCCTATATAAATTCTTTCTGCACCTATCCCAGGTAATAAACTTTTTGAGTTGTCTCTTCTTAGTAGTCAAGCTCTTAAATTTATTCATCCGTATTTGGTAAGCTATGTCTGTTGCTCAAAATCTATGGCATTTTGAGTAATGGTGCCTCCTGGAGCCTCTGTGTCTTCTGAATGTTGTAAGACCTCCTTATTTCATGCACACTGGGGAGGAAGTTACAGAGAAACAAGTTGCTTGTTGACTTATGTTGTAAAGTCAGGGAATATATATTGTAAGCAGGGAAGATGCATGGCAGTGTGGCCTTGTTATTCTCCTGCTCCTGAGCCTCGGGAGTTCTTGGGGCTGCTTAGTATTTTGGAGTAGATGAGGACTGGTTTTCAAAGTCTATGCTACAATTTAAAATAAGACCCTCAAGTCAGGCACTAATGTTTTTCCTATTTGAGATATGATATTTATCAGACTTGCTAGAATGTATTTTGCTTTTAAATGCATACCTTATAGCCTAGATACAATAGCTTAAGAAACCAGAGGTTCTTTTGCTATTACTGCTTTTTAACTCTTAAAAGTTAGGGGGAAAAAAAGCTGATGTTGCTAGTGAAAGGTTAACTAGTCTTGATGTCACCAAGAATTTATTTCATTGACTTTAGCACAGTGAGAACAAACGATAGACAACATGGTCATACGTTTCTTACCTCTTTTCCAGTGCATTCAGTATTTAGTATTTGTAGATGCCCATCTTATTTTTTTTTTTATTACTTTTTCTTTACTTGGTACATCAATCAAATTTTTTTAATCTGTACATAAGCATTTTTTGTTCATTGTAAGTTAAAATGACAGGTATTTTACTTTGATGCAGTCAAATTGTCTTCTAGGGAAACAGCTGAATATAGAGACTATTTATCCAACCTATGCTG